TTCTACCGAACATTTTGCAAGCTATCTACCAGACTAGGCAGCTCAGCAATACACTAAGAAAAAAGATGTTAGTTGGATGGAGGGAATCGTCAGGAAGCTCTGCTTGACCAAGGTTTCTGGCTTGTTGTCAGCCGTCAGCAAAGCTTATCTGCAACCTCGACGGAACTGATGTCTCGCATGAGATTTGAACCTGCATAGTCTGGTAGACAAATTGCAAAAACGGTCAAAAGAATTCCGTAAGCACATAAGAGTAGACAACAGGATGCCAGTCGTGACCTGCGTAGCTCAGTGGTAGCGCCGCTGACTACGACGATGGGTGAGGTGGTTTCTAATCTCATCTCCACAGAAGTGGGAGACTCACCCTGCTGATAGGTGCCAACAACCGCAAAACATAGGTCTAAGCCTTCATTGTGTCTGCTTCCATCCAAGTGAGCTTTACTTTATCAAACTTCTAAACAGTCTGTATAGAAAAAGAGAACCACACAGGTTTGAATTAAACTCTTATTCGTTATGGATCCTGCCTTTTGGCTTCAGTACACCCCACAATAACTTAGTTTAGCTATGACATATCACCTTCTACACATCATAAATTCACAACAATAACCACTTACACATAAACATTTCACACTTACAATATTCAACTAAAATAATCATCAGTGTTCTACAACAATAAACTATTCGATTTCGAGGTTTGTAGCAACTTTATTATTTTCAAACTCATATCAATCACACAACGACATCACATGGAGAGTCATCGAAAACATGCAAACACTGGAGATTAGTCGTTTCAATGCATTATGGAATACACTTCAGAAGACTGTACTCACAACATTTCAATTTGGTGGTGATGACGTCACCGTTGAGGCATTTGATGGAACAGTGCAATTGCCAGAAGCATAATGTGATTGATTTCCATTGATCTGTTGGTTAATAACTTGGAAACAAAACAGCTGATATCTGTAGTACACAAGGCCTCATCCTCTGCAAAATCGAATGGATGATAATTTGATTGTATAGGGGAACCGAAGACAATCGTTTAGTCTTTTAGAAGGATTGGCATCACTCATCTAAAACTCGAATCCATCGACGATGGCAAGTGAACACGGAGATGAATTTCACTTCGTGGATTATTGTATTATAAGACGAAATGGTCAGAACGTAACACTGGGCAACGTGAGTGATTAGAAACCACTGGAGGGATGTGTCTCTTGTTGTGTCAAAGACTACACGTTGTGATCTTTGCTAAGGAGTTCGTTCCAATGGAAGGTCTGTTAAAACCACTACTGGGATGATATCAGAGTGGTTTGTGCCATCTGTAGAAAAAGCAACTGCGATTCCATAGTCCTATGTGGGGTATGTTGGTAAAGGAAGCAAGCCGAAAAGCCAGCCAAATCCAGGTGATGTGAAGAATTCGCCTGCGTCGCTGGACGCAAAATGGGTGAAACCACCGTCCAGTTTGGTCGCTACATCATTGTGATCTGGCAGTAGGAGTGCACAAATCAGCTGAACTCTTCTGCATGACTGATTTTTTTTATTTGACAACACTTTTGTGTCAGAGACCACATCTTGTAGTCTTCGCCAACGGCTGGATTTCAGTGGAAATCTTGTTGGGCTAACAGAAATACACAACAGTGACCTAATCACAAACATGATCAATGGAAGATTGGAAACTACAAAAAGCAGAATATGTACTTGGAGGCAAGATTAATAGCATCCACTACTACTAGCTAAAGTAGACAATTACTTGTCAAAGATCTCATTCAACTGTATTTACCAACTGAAGTCCAGCTGCCAGAATTCATTTCACTATATCTTAGCCTAACAGAACCGAACTATACAACCTTTAAATATTCCATCATCTGATGAATACATAAAACATGATGTGAACACAAAATGAATAATGCAATTCCAGAAGTCAAGTTGAAGTGCTGTGAAATATTTTCACTCATATCAATACATACAGACAATTATGGATATGAATTCGACTGAGAGAATATGGAAATCCTGAATGGATAGAGGAAATACAAAGAATGTCAGGGAATTTTCAGAAGGAAGGCGCTTAGGTTAATCAGTTAACGATCAATAGACATATCAACATTCATCCAATCTATCAAACAACAAGAAACATGAGAAATAAAATGAAGATCAACAGGACAGCCAATTGAAGTAGGTGTAAAAACAATGACAAGATTTCAACGGAAAGAATCAGTCACACTCAAAATCATCAGAATAAGTTGGTAAACTACTTGTGAAGAAGATTTGAAAACTCACTTGTTACAGTCAGTAAGCCAATGAAAGCTTGGAATCCATTGGCTAGCTGATAAGATGATTGATATGAGATCTGACAATCCGAAGTTTAATTCCACATGGTTTGATTAGTACACATTGTTATGAATGCTCAAAACAAGTTGACAGAGCTAACCAGTGATACAATGGCGTTAATTCATTGTCTGGTTGAGTTCCATTTGTGATGAAAGCTATCCAAATTCAACAAATCTGGACAAATACGTCTTCGATAACTGACTGTTTGGATACACCACTAACGAAACCGTTTCTTGTTGCCCACATCACTGTGATCTGAATGGCCAGTGAAATCTACAGATCAACACGAATGATTACTAACTACATACCGTAGTCATTGGTATGCTTTCAACGTTTCTTCTTATCACACGCCAATCCACGAAATGAAGTTAATCTCCATTTACTCGTTCCATTGTGGATTTGGCAGAGGGCATGTTCCCGTGTATTACAGACATCAACTGTTTTGTTTCCAAGTTATTAACCGATGGATCAGTGGAAACCAATAACATTAAGCTTCTGACAACTGCACTGTTCCATCAAATGCCTCAACGGTGACGTCATCACCACCAAATTGAAATGTTGTGAGTACAGTCTTCTGAAGTGTATTCCATAATGCATTGAAACGACTAATCTCCAGTGTTTGCATGTTTTCGATGACTCTCCATGTGATGTCGTTGTGTGATTGATATGAGTTTGAAAATAATAAAGTTGCTACAAACCTCGAAATCGAATAGTTTATTGTTGTAGAACACTGATGATTATTTTAGTTGAATATTGTAAGTGTGAAATGTTTATGTGTAAGTGGTTATTGTTGTGAATTTATGATGTGTAGAAGGTGATATGTCATAGCTAAACTAAGTTATTGTGGGGTGTACTGAAGCCAAAAGGCAGGATCCATAACGAATAAGAGTTTAATTCAAACCTGTGTGGTTCTCTTTTTCTATACAGACTGTTTAGAAGTTTGATAAAGTAAAGCTCACTTGGATGGAAGCAGACACAATGAAGGCTTAGACCTATGTTTTGCGGTTGTTGGCACCTATCAGCAGGGTGAGTCTCCCACTTCTGTGGAGATGAGATTAGAAACCACCTCACCCATCGTCGTAGTCAGCGGCGCTACCACTGAGCTACGCAGGTCACGACTGGCATCCTGTTGTCTACTCTTATGTGCTTACGGAATTCTTTTGACCGTTTTTGCAATTTGTCTACCAGACTATGCAGGTTCAAATCTCATGCGAGACATCAGTTCCGTCGAGGTTGCAGATAAGCTTTGCTGACGGCTGACAACAAGCCAGAAACCTTGGTCAAGCAGAGCTTCCTGACGATTCCCTCCATCCAACTAACATCTTTTTTCTTAGTGTATTGCTGAGCTGCCTAGTCTGGTAGATAGCTTGCAAAATGTTCGGTAGAATTCAGTCAGCATATAGGACTAGACAACAAGAAGTTGGTTACCCTCTAGTAACCAATCAATGTAAAGTAAAACTCACTCATGGACTGGTTTAAGATGCAAGGTAACATGTGGTAATGTCAACATCGATTAGTATTTGAGACAGAGACTCATAACTACAAAATAGATTCTTGTGTGTACACATGGTGTTAACAAGTACCCATTTCAAGAGATATTGGTAGCTTTATTCCTCTATACTTAGTTCTCATTTGTTGTCGCCTATCCTCTGTTCGATCTCAATATCTAGTTTCTACGTCATTGATTTCTATTCACTACCAAACTAAATCATGAAATTCTTCCATCCTTGTAATCGACTCAGTATTGGACAGATGTTCTCTTTTCAACTTCTACACTCTTGTATAATATAATCACTGACAACGCCATACTATGATACAATAGTTGACTATATGAGAGACTAGTTTGATACACAGTAAACTGTAATCATCATCCAATGATGATTCCTGACCACGAAATCGTTATCACGATAACATGATGATCAAGTGAGGATGGATAAATTATGTTACAGGATTGAGGTCATATTGGTCAATATCTTCCATTGTGTATTGGGAGATGATAGCAAAATGGACGCCAGTAAGAACTCATCTTACCCTCTGTTCATTGAGTGATTCATAGGTGTATGCAAGAGGTATGACTCCAAAGGCTAACTTGTCAACTGTTGAAATAACAAGTTAGATTTTCATATATCGACTGAGAAAATATTTTTTTTCTAAAAAGAAATAAAGTAACCTGGTCGGTTTTTATCAAGGACTGCTAGGTTAACCTTTTACACGTGTTTAAAGAATAAGTAAGCCCAGCGGTATTCTGATATTCAAGGGTATGAGTTGTGAGTGACTTTGAAAGCTGCTCAGGTCCTGACTGAAACAGCCAACTGGATTTTTTTAAATCTTTATCCTATCTGGAGGTTTATGGAGGTTTATTAATTGATATCAGGTTGCAATTTATCATGATCTGAAACATTAGTTACAGGTACATTCGGAACCTGAGAGAACTGGACAGCTATTTCTTCCTAGTATGGGACCCCTCAGTAGTGCACACCTGGGACCTACACCTTGAACTGACAGAAGTAGGAAATATAGACCAATGGCTCAATGTCAACATGTTGATCGCGGAACCTGAAGGTCCTGGGTTTGGTCCTTGGAAGAACAGAGTCATGGATGCGCACTGCTGAGGAGTAGCATGCTAGGCTGAAACAGTTGTTTAGAACTCCTAGGTTTCCAATGTTCCTCCAAATGATGTCAGCCCATGATAAATACCAACGTGAAATCAAATAATGGATCTCTTTATGAAATTCTAGATTGAAGAAAGATGTTGGTTTTTTCAAAAATCTCTGCATTCGCTTTGACATCTTTCAAGATGTAACACAGTTCAAATTCAACGTGCCAGTTTCTTAGTTTGACTACCTGAGGCAGCAGCCGCGGTTTGACAGGCACTTGTATTATTCATACCGTATGATGACTGTTAAAGTGAAGTGAAGGTCTACACCATGGCACAATTTAAATCAGACCTGGTTCTGTCTAATGTTTCCAGTACCTCAACTGGAAACAAGATAGAACTGAAAATTTTTTTATCTTCTAGCTGAATATAATTTTATCACTGTCGTGTGTGTTGACACTAAGCTAAATGTTAGGTGAAGCAATTGTTTCGCAGTTTACTTGTAGATCTCATCAGGAGATGTCTGTTACTGATGATAATCATTACAATTTAAAAAGACTACTTCAGTCTCATCCAGGAAAAAGTATGAATCGGTATATTTCTTCAAATATCCTTCCTACACCCACAATGAATAAGAATAGAACAAAATGGAACTTACACAAATCATACACATTGGTTGGAACATGTGCTACTGAGAAATTATAGCACACATATTGATTATCATGATAAGGACTCTGAGTTAATGGAATATAAAATTTGATGCTACAATTGTCAGTTTCATTCATTGGTGGAATAATTGTCAGAGCTTTAGCTCGATAATAACACTGGATAGAAAACAAGAAAGGGGAATATTTCAGAAAAACTAACTCATATATAAAGGGGTGTAATAACGTAGAAAAATGTTTTTAAAATAGGCATTAGACAGTGATTACTTGTATTTCGAAACATTCACAATGCCGTGAAGGCTGCCAGGTAGCTCCAGCATCCAAGTTACTCCATAAGTATCTGATTACACATGAACGAGTAATCACATTACACATTAATGAACTAGTGGGAACGTTCGTGTAGGTTACCAATAAAGATACCCACCACAGACTTTGAATACCTCTCACCCACCCCGCTTAGTTATTCCTTCTAAGTTATCCCGTTTAGTACTTATGAAATCATACTAAATAGGGTTTGCGTGTTTTGAGAAATGTGAAGCAAAAATATCGGTGCAGTGCTGAACAAGCATTCGAGTCGTTAAAAGATTTACAGGCTTTCTGCACAGAAGTTTACCAAAATAATCTATCATATATAATACAGGAAATGTTTTCTGCAATTTCTATATTCATCACCAATGATATCAGTTAGAGAACTACTGAAAACCTGGAGATACTGGACACCAAATGTTTTGTCTTTGTGTACGGCCTATCAACAGTATGTACTCATGATCCCTTCTTACCTCTCTACAGATTAAAGTCAAGACATTTACGCTTCACAGCCAACACTTTAGCATTGAACCACCGGATTGAAATTCAGCGGTTCAATACTCCCAATTCTGACAGTTACCAAAGTACCTTGACCTCACTCCGTTGCATCGTTGAGTAGCTATTGTCACTTACGATTTGGTTTAAAGACAGGTACTCAGCTCAAACCATATCGCAAGGTGAAAGACGCTAGAAGACGAGAACAATTGGATTTCAATCCATTAACTTAATGGTGACATGCTACTTGCTTAACCCAAAAGTTTTGTATTCGATCTCTGGTGAGGTGAGGCAGGGTCATCAGTTTGCACTGTTGAAGAATCCCATACCAGGACGAAACAGTTACTATTCAGTGCTTCTGTTTTTTTCAATAGTTCTACGACTGATATATCAGTCCATGATGCTTTCCAACTTGAAACCTGTAAAAGTCATTTCTTTTTATATGTTTATAGATTTGTAAACTAGAATTGTAATAACTTACGCCAGTCGGTTCATCCTCCGCTCTATTCACATAAGCTTCTTCAGCCGCAGCCTTGATATTCTTTGTTGAAAAAAGACAGAAAAGTGAACAAGATGAGAATATGAAGTAATTATAGAATGTTGAAGTGCTTTTTTTACAGCGATTTTACCAATTTCAGGTCAGATAGCTGTAACATTCGGGTGATTTACCTTGCTTTAACTCTATAAGATACTTGATAGACCACATGAACTTCAACAGTATTTGTCTGTTTAATATTTGAGTGAATTTTATGTTTAACGGTAGTCGTCAGTAAAGGATTTTCATCACCTTGAGTGAACTAATGTCTCCCGAGAGAGTTGAATGTATATCATTGAATGCTGCAGTCGCAGACTTTACCAGTCAACTGTCACTTGATTTCATGAAGTCACTTGTGTATTGATGTTGCTCATTCATTTGACTAATTTGCTCATTTGAGGAATAAACTCTGAAATTTGGTTGTATGTTATTTATAGATCCACTGGATACATTGATTTTATTGTTCTTAGCTTTCTCCATTCCACTAATCATTCAGCTAATGGCTAGTAATCTCCATTTTTACATTGCAAATTAAATTATCATCCTATGGAATATCATTTTTGATATACACTTTAGTCGGAAATGATATCCATAGGCTTAGGTTATAGGTAGGAGCTCAAACAGAAATCAGTATTTTAAGAGTCCTTGGTCAAGAAAAACCTTATTGGACAATCTCATCCAACAGCCGACCAATCAGACTTGTAATCTAGTGGTTTGTTTGTATGTAAGTGATGTATATTTGCTGAATAAAATGTCTGCCTTAGGTCACAGGCCTATCTCTACCTTCAGATTTTCATGGCTGTGAACAGAACACTAGCTATTCGTATCCCTTCCAAGTATCTCAATTGCGTTATTATTGTTCGCTTATTGGTCATTAATTACTCGGTCACTTCATCAGGAAACTATAAAAAGTACCCATATATTGACCTCAGTGATGATGCAGAATATTTGTAGCTCAGATGCAGTTAGAACTGATGATGTTGTTTACAGTGAATAAACAATAAAAGTTTCATGATTAATCTGTCCGACTCATAGAATGCAATGCAACCAAGATTCTTGCTGATGATATTCTGGTAGATATTGTTTGACAGTAACTACCTCTTTGACGTTGACCCCTTAAATGAAAAGTGAGAAGGTTTTCAACTGTTGTATGTGTACTGAGAAAGAATAAGAACAACAACCAATCAAATACCAGTGTCCTTCATTTGTCTGTTTCTGCTTTCATTCATCGACGTCCCAATTAGGACACCTACGCTTTCAATACGATATACACATTATACCGTCTGACAGTCTAACTTTGTCTTCTCTCTGAGTCAGTTGGTGTGACATTAGTGGCTGTATGATCAATTCGTACATAGTAACTCCGGGAATAATGCTATTTGGGATGGGCGTTGGACTTTGAAAACCTAAATAAAGGTTAGCAATGGAACAATCGACTAATCCGTTATTTAACTGGATATCATACAAAGACGAACCATTCATTTTACAGTTGAGCAATCACATCTATCCAACGGCGGATCAATCTCTTCAAGGGGAAATTGTAGAGTAATATACAGACGTGGAATGACTGTAGGTGGATGGATGTGGCCAATCAATTTTACTCCGCATATCACATAACATGGACTTGACTTATTTAGTTCCCACTAAATAGATCCGGTAGAAGCCGACTACTTGTCAGCACACATACACATATCCAAGGTTCAAACAATCACATCTATAAGAACTAGAGATGATTAATGAATTACCATGATTAAATTGTTCGGTTAAAAATGTATAGAGAAAGCCGACACACTGAATTCAATTCAACCCCTAGAAGGTGAGGTTATATAGGTGTACAATCTTGATGAGTGTCATGCTAGGACGAAACAACCAGTTTCCAATGCTCACAGATCCTCAGACGTTCTCAACTAACTGATTTCAGTGTGTGTTGCATGACAACTTGAAACTAATAGAACTGTATCCCCCCCCCCACAAACCTGTAAATTGAAATTAACTTACATCGACTGTTTTCGACTTTTCATTGACAATATTCTCAATTTTATTAACAGCTGTTTCTAGAAATGCTGTTGCAATAGTTTCATTAATTTCTTGTGCTCCAAAATTAGGAGTTTTGTAAATCTATAAAGAGAAATTTTTTCACGATGATTAAGAGAAATTCTAAAAAATGTTACAATCTGTCAGTGTATCCAGTGGAATTTGGATTCAGTTATGCGTAAATAAGATTTTTGAAAAAGAATAAACTGAGTGTAAGCTGTGCCATAATAGAATACTTTATCAATTGCTTTGAGACATCGTTTATTGATACTTGTAATCTCCTATTGGTATATTGGGTCGGATTGTTCGACCTCCATTGGCATTTGGGATCCAATGCTGATCCCCCGACACTTTCTAAATATTCAGTATGTTACAATTTACTCTCAGTCATGGTTTTAATGTATCCTAAGCTGATTTTTTATTATCATTTGTCCCTTTGGTTCCTAATGGAACATAGGGATTCAGTAGCACGTCTCCATTACACTCTCTCCTCTGAAATCTTTTCAACTTGGCTACACCGCACCACACAACCTCTCATTTCCTCCTCGCACGATCTCCTCCATGTCACCCTCGCCAAAGACGCCCAACTCGTCGCTTCCCATCTGCGTTCCACTCGAGCAACTGGCCTGACGCGTGATGTCCACAGTCGGCCTTCTCAGTGTATGCCCAATCCAATCCATCTCCACCTACTTCCATCGCATATTTGTTGAGCGATAGCTTCTTGCTTTATTGGTTCGTCACCAGCCAGAATCCCTTGTTGCTTATTCTTATTATTCTGGCAATCCATTTGATCTTCAGTAACAAGCCAGCATAGGGGGCAGTTGTTGATGAATGTTTGTAGTTTGTTGGAAATCCTTTTCGTAACCCTCCAAGTCTCTGAACCACGTAGATGCACTGACTTCACGTTGGTGTAGAAAATCCGGATGTTGTTCCACATGCTGAGTGTAGAAGATCTCTATACTGGATTCAGGTTAATGAACGCCTGTCTTGCTGTCTTTCCGATTCTGACTTTGACATCGTCGTCTGTGTCGCATGTAGTTGACACTGTGCTGCCTAGATAGATGAAGGAGGCTACTTCCTTTAGGTTTCTCCCATTGATGGTGATTGGAGCTTGTTGTTGTCTATCCTAAACTGATTAGTGAAACAAATAAATAGTTATAATTCTTTCTAGCATAAAATGTGGTAAATATTTCGTGGATTATTCTAAAACATGTAGCCGAATACCTAGCTGTCGATATATGATACTCTGAGATGGAAGAAACATTTTCTTCACAAACGTATACTACTGAATAAAAAAAGTAGTAAGAAACTAATGTTTTCATTTTCAGACCTAATGAAGCAATGAATTTTTTGTAGTTGTATATTAAATTGAGTTTATGTGATGTACTCAAAGTGATCCAGAACTGTTTACATAATTGCTTCATCAAATCATGAAACCTTAGGCATGAAATAGAAATTCCAGTTTATTTGGATTGTTTCCAATGTAAACGTTTACGGTAGCATAAATGTGATATTTCATATGCAAAAACTAACTGAAAAACCGGATGGATTTCAGTTCATTTAGATCATCATGGATACAATTGTTGGAAACCGAATCCGAAATAAACGTGAGTAATAAATATGTCCACCAAGTGGGGCAAGAGACATTTTTGATTGTTGCTAGGTCTTGATGTGTCCACTCTGAATTCTCTCCCAACTTAATCCAAATCCCCTTAGAACTACATGCAATGGCTTGGCACGCATCGTACATGTCCAAGCCATCTGAGTTGACTAGGGTGCACGACGGTACTAATCACTTTGACTGTCTTACCTAGCAACCTTCGTCTGAGCTTAACATTTCTCACGTGAAAATCCCACCTAGTATGAGGAATTCTATGCAGACATCCGTGATCGAATACCTGTAACGAATTCGTGTCTTCTTATTTTAACAATCGTTTCTCACAACCGTATAACAGAACAGAATGGACTGAAAGGTAGTGCACTGTTCCTTTGATAAGTCGTTGGATATCTTGCCAGTGCCACAGCTGACGCAAGTTGACAAGTTGACCAAATAGGATTTCTGTATCAGAGCTAAGATTTTGTCAGCCAACTGCCTGTTCTGGCTAATGCAACTCTCCAAGTAAGTGAAATGGTCGATAGTTTGGGTAATTCACTCCTTATCATTAAACTGAGAGTACTGGAGTAGACCAGTCCTGGAGTATCATTTTATATTTAACAGGTGCCAGCAAAATACATGTCAAACATTCTCATATTTTTACTCAAAGCGTTCACCTAGCAGGACAATATAGTCTACACACTCCAAGTAGACCAGGTGACCTATATAGAGTAAATCAATTACTGTGAAGTCAGATATACCTAAGGTTATGTTCATTAGTACGTTTACAATGCAGTTAAGTAGGAAGGTTGACGGTGGGCATCCCTAGCGAACACCACTAGTTGTCATCAACTCTAATGACAAGAAATAACTGTTACCAAGTCAAATTCAAAGTGAAAATCATTTGCTTTTGTGCTTAAGGCAGTGTCTTATGTACCCAAATTTCACAAGCTTCTTCAATTGTACGCAGCTTCTCACTCCGTCATATATTGATTACAGTAAAAGAATTTACACAGTCGATATCAAGCCTGTTTTCTAAGCAATAGAATCTTCTCTCAGCTATGATCTAACCACATTTAAGCAAGCCCTTAACTAGACAAGACAGATAGCTGAATCTTTATGCGACTTATGCCTTACTCATCTGACTCCACATTCAATTTGGTATACACAGCTGGAAGTGTTGACGTCAAGTCATACCATTATAGTAAGTGATGCCAGGAAACCCTAATTTCGAGTTAGTTTTAAAAAAAAGTTACTCATCTTACTAAACCATCACTGAGTTCAACTTAAAAAAAACTCCACTATTCATAGTAGTAAAACAACAGAAAATTGTGTACATATGTACACAATATTGAATACTGAACAAGAAATAATAAACTGAGATATAAAATATTAGAAAAACTAAGGAAAAATCAAAGTTTTTAGTGTCAGCAATACTAATTAGACTTACTGACTTAAGGTATGGTTCACCTGATACACTGTGCAATTCACTGAAGGACTGTTCTAATTCAGTAACCCACCTATCAAGGCTGAGAAAGAAGAAAGACAGAATGAAATAATACTTTCATTCATAATGATCAACTGATGCTTCCGACATATTGATTTGTCTAAACAGTTAAGGTCATATGAGAATTAACTGAAATGAGGTCAGTTATTCAAATTGGAAGTTTGTAGGGATTTATTGATATCAAGGTTGTAGTGATCATGGAGTGACACCAACTGGATAACTACTGGAAAACTGAAAGCGCTGGATAGCCATTTAGTCTTAGTAAGGGAGTCGTCAATCGTGTACACCCATCACCCTTTCTCTCCAGGGCTCGAACCTAGGACGTAGGGAGTAGGAGGATGTGAACGAATGGATGCATAATAGGAACTGATCAGTTTAAAAGTAGTTTTACCACCACTGACAAAGGTCAACTGGATGGCGATTAGAAACCCAAGGGGAACACTGGTAGGACATTTCATCCAGCTTTGATACTCTTCACTATTGAACACTTGGATTCCTGACCAGTAACTGGATTGTTGAGAAGAGTAAATCTGTTCAAAATGAACTATTTTTTAGGGATGGGGTAGGGCTGACAAACATCTCTCCCTCTCTCTCTCACCAGTTTGACACTGAACACTTTACAATTCAGAAATTTGATCATAACATATTCGAATATTTTCTGAAGTAAAGTGACTGAATCAAAATAGGCAGCCGGTGATGACACATCTAACCTTTAGAAACTAAAATATCCACGTCATATTAGGTAATCTACTCCACATCATGAATGGCGTCAAGATGGTGAGCATGAAAGTTATACGAAACATACTACTGACCGACACTGAGTAGTTGTGACTAACCCAAACTGGTTGATAGTGTTCAATAGCCACGATTTCCACGAAGATTATTAGCGAACACTCTTAAGCTGATTGAACACTTCAAACTATGAGAAATCTATAGAAATGACTGTTAACAATCAATCGAAAAGCGTCAACTTACTGGAAATCCTATTTCTTACCTAATACTGGAAACTGATGTTAGAAGTATCCAACTGGCTCACCTGGATTTTCCTGTTTCTTGAACAGCTTAACAACCAACTCACCTCCTTACCAGTACCCTAAATCCTATCATATACGAAACCTCAAGCACAATAACTGGTCTCCGATTTCTGATTTATCAGTAATGCAGCAGAAATCTGGATAAACAATCAAACTCGAGAGATCACTTCACCTAACGGCAACATATCCATAATAATGCTGTGCAACAGATTTCTCTAGTACTTTGTATTGTATCAATCCACCTAATCGAAGTCAACTAACAGCCAATGTATCTCCTTGACAATGTTGCATACTTTAATGTGAAGTCTATGAAGTTTTATACATGTGTATTATTCACCACTGTTGAACGACAATGCTTCCAGTCTTTAATTACTTGCACTACAACAAATATTTTCAGTATTACTAATCTGAATTGCTGGAAAAGGTAACACTGGGTCTTGCAGATGGGTCAATCATGTCGACTACTCACAACGCAAACACCGAATATGGCGCCGTTTGATGTGAAAAAAGATTTGTGCGTAGGAATGACTTAAATTGAGAACGATGTGTATGTACTGTAAAATGATATTTTCCTGCTATTTTCATAACATTTAGACACTTGGTATCATGATAGAGTCTAATGTCCCTCCCTCTGTATCATTCAATACTGCTCAAACCGTTTTATGTTTCACTGCAGTTATCAATTTGATGAAGCCTGTAAACTGTCTTCTCTCATGTTAACTTCATAACTTGAGAATAAAGATATTTATTTATGGAACGAGGTTGGTAAATGTTAGAAAAATCGTTTAGAAAGCGAATAATGAGTATAGATGATATACCTTATTCCACAGGAGTAGGTGATTTGATAAACACACATAGGAGTCAGCTTATCCATTAGGCATAATTGAAGTATTGGTTAAGTAGTGAAATTTGGTTTGAATATAACAGCATAGAAAGTTTTTCTTCTTCTGTACCTGCTGATATGTCTCACCTGGACTGTAAATTCTTAAAAAAACAGCTTGTAAGAAATTCTGCTAGTTGAATGTTTATTTCCTTTGAGTTTCTTGGTCTTAACACAGTGAAACATTCCATATTAGATTTGTTTATTTGATATATATATAGCGCACAGTGATACAGTATTATTTACTTGATTACGTTTCAAGCATAAATGATCATTGCTCATAATCATCACATCAATGTAATCACACTTCCCTCGATATCTGATTTTATACTCCTATCACCTGATCTCTCTTTGTTTTTTGATGGGTAGTAAAGTTTTCCATATCTCTGGTATAGGTGTTGCGTCATTCCTATTACATGTGTTGGGTGTGGATTCGATGAAGAAAGATTCAGTAATTAATCTCTCTCTCTCTCTCTCCACCTAACTATATTAGACTTAAGTACAGTGGTTTTGTCCCACCCTATTGTGTGGTTGTGTGTTAATGAATGTAATGCAATGGCTGAGTGTTTTTCTAGATTATTGATCTTATTGGGATCTGCCGTTCTATGTTTAGCTAAATTCCTATGTTCTGTTAATCTAACTGACCCCGACCGGCTAGTTTCACCTATGTATTTGACCCCACTCATAGTCATTACATGGAATTTGGTAGATTATATTATTTTGCTTAATTGGTTCTATCGGATCCTTATGCCGGCCGACAAAGCTTACCTCTAAGTGAGTTTGTTGGTTTAAATGCCACCCTAATTCCAACCTTGTTGAGAATCAATCCTACGTATGGTTTCTGATGTTCCTTCCTTGTATGGTATCATAATAGAGGTTCTTTGAAGAAGGCATCGGTTGATGAAATCATGTTAGGAGTGCAGTTATGCTTAACCTCGACAGTCTTCAAGTTTCAGGGAAAGATATATAGACAAACAGAAGGAGTAGCAATGGGATCACCAATATCCCCTACAGTAGCAGATATATTTATGGATAGTTGGGAAGATATGGCTTTACGAACATATAATCCGACACCTAAGATATGGTGGCGATATGTGGATGACACATTTACAGTGTTGAAATCGGAACATATCGACAGTTTCTTGACACACATAAACTCAGTAGTTAACGCAATCCAATTCACTTACGAAGTAGAAAATGAACAAGGAGAATTACCTATGTTGGATTGCAGAATAAAACGAAGGATAGATGGTGGTTTAGACACTACTGTCTACAGAAAACCAACACATTCTAACAGATATCTAGACTTCAAGTCATCTCATCCAGTGTCAGTTAAAGTGGGTTTAGTCAAATGTCGAAATAACAGAGCTAAGAAACTCACTAGTCATTGTAAGGACTTAAAAAAGGAATTGAAACCCATCAAAGAAGCGTTAATAATTATCCCCATCATTTTATTAAGAAATACACACGGACACATAAGAAGCAAAGTAATAACACTAGTACAAATACAAATAATAGCGACAACATAAGTAGAAAGGAAATCAACACCTCTATTGTGATACCATACAAGGAAGGAACATCAGAAACCATACGTAGGATTGATTCTCAACAAGGTTGGAATTAGGGTGGCATTTAAACCAACAAACTCACTTAGAGGTAAGCTTTGTCGGCCGGCATAAGGATCCGATAGAACCAATTAAGCAAAATAATATAATCTACCAAATTCCATGTAATGACTATGAGTGGGGTCAAATACATAGGTGAAACTAGCCGGTCGGGGTCAGTTAGATTAACAGAACATAGGAATTTAGCTAAACATAGAACGGCAGATCCCAATAAGATCAATAATCTAGAAAAACACTCAGCCATTGCATTACATTCATTAACACACAACCACACAATAGGGTGGGACAAAACCACTGTACTTAAGTCTAATATAGTTAGGGAGAGAGAGAGAGAGAGATTAATTACTGAATCTTTCTTCATCGAATCCACACCCAACACATGTAATAGGAATGACGCAACACCTATACCAGAGATATGGAAAACTTTACTACCCATCAAAAAACAAAGAGAGATCAGGTGATAGGAGTATAAAATCAGATATCGAGGGAAGTGTGATTACATTGATGTGATGATTATGAGCAATGATCATTTATGCTTGAAACGTAATCAAGTAAATAATACTGTATCACTGTGCGCTATATATATATCAAATAAACAAATCTAATATGGAATTACATTCTACCACAGTGTGCCCAAGTTTTTCACTGATAACAGTGAAACATTCATGACACCGGTTGTCAATCAAAAGGATTTTGAGTAAATTAATTTTACCTTTCAAAGTATCAAGGTCAGAGATAGTGGAGATTTTATAGCACACTAGAAGTGAATAAGATTTTCTTCACATGAAAAACCACGACTCATATAGTACAAAAAAGATAAAGGATTCTCAAGTAGGCATAATACATTTATGAGATCATTTCACTCATTCACTATGAAAGAATGTAAACTAGGGAACAGCTATAATGGTGAAGTGTATATGGCAGGCTGTTTTAACTGTTGTTTAACAATCCTCAATTTCAAAATTGTTATTCATTATGGACTGATATCTGTTGGAGAATTATTGGCAATGTAAGAGCAGCGGATATCAGCCACTTCGTCTGGTTCTTGGACTATTCAGTAGTACCTTTTCTAGGGATTAAACTCAGAACCTTCAAACCTCTCAACAAACGTATTAACCAATCAACGACTGCCTAGTAAGTTAATATTACATTATATTCAGTCGCTTCCGAAGTCAAAATGAGATTTGTGTAACCTTAAGGGGCAACCGGAAAACTTTTGTGATCAATCGAAATAACAACTATGGAGATAAAGAAACAGTTATTTATACACAATTTATCCTAAGAAAATTAAGCCACTAGGTCACAAGTTGTATATTTTTCCTGATTGGTCAGCTGAAGGACAAACTTGTCCAATGAAGTTTTCTCTGATCATAAAATAACATGAAACAAGGTTGAAATCTAAAACTACTTACCGGTTGATGAGTTAGAGTGCTAATTTCGACTTAAGCCACTTCCTATTACATTATGAACACGGCGAAATAAG